AATATCTAAAGCAAAAAGCTGCTATGAACATCTTCAAGGAGGGGGACAGGAATACCAAATTCTACCATGCTTACATAAAGTATAAAAGGAAATGTAATACTATTCATGCTATTGAGACTGTTGAGGGGAATTGGCTTCATGAAAATGCTGAAATAGCCAACGATGCTGTAAACTATTTCAAAAATCTGTTGACTCAAGAGAACAATCTCAGAAGCCCTATTGATTCAAAACATTTCAATGCTAAGAAGGATTACACTGCCAATTTAAAACTTGCTGACATTCTTGATGAAGGGGAGATTTGGAAGGCTGTTAACTCTATTGATAGTAGCAAAGCAGTTGGTCCTGATGGTTTCACAGTTGAGTTTTATAAGAAACCTTGGGACATTATAAAACCTGAGGTGATTGCTGCTCTGGCCAATTTTTTCCAAGGAAACAATCTCCCATAGTATTTCAGTGCTTCTACCTTTGTGCTGATCCCCAAATCTGAGATACAAACCACCTGGAATCACTTCAGACTTATTTGTCTAGCCACTGTAATCAGCAAAGTGATCATAAAAATCATTGTCAATAGACTCCAACCTTATCTTGAACACATTATTAAACCCAATCAGACTGCATTTATGAAGGGGAGATCTATGAAGGGGAGATCTATTATTGATAACACTCTCTTGGCACAGGAACTTCTGAATGACCTGAATAAGACCTATAGAGGTGGTAATTTGATATACAAATTGGATTTGAAAAAGGCTGCTGATACAATCAGTTGGGGATTCATTATGGATGTTCTTGCTGCTAGAGGTTTTCACTCTGACTTCTGCTAGCTGATACATAGATGGCTTCACAACAATAATCATTCTATTCTCATAAATGGTAAAGGTTGGGGCTCTTTTACTACCTCCAGAGGTTTGAAGCAACGGGACCCCTTATCCCCCACTATGTTTATTATAGAAATTGATTATTTATCCAGAATGCTTGATGATTCTCTTCTAAGCAAAAACTATACTATCTATCATAATAGATCCAACTTTGCTATCACCCACTTGATTTATGCTGATGATATCAAGGTTTTCTTGAGAGCTCATAAAAATCCTGTAAGGAAAGTGTATCAGACTCTTCAAAAGTTCCAAACACACTTTGGTATGTGTTTTAATCCTGAGAAATGCCTGCTGATCTTCAATAAACATGTTAATCCTAACTGCAAACAATGGGCTTCTAGCTATACTGGCTTCTCTAATTCTCAGTGTCCTATCAAGTATTTGGGCACCATGCTTCTTAGTGGAATAACCAGGCAAATTCAATTTGAAGAAGTCATAAATAAGATCACTCCCTACCTTAGTGGGTGGACTCATTCCTTCCTTTCAAATGGGGGCAGAATCACTCTACTGAAAAGCATTCTAACTACTTTTCCCTCTTATATCCTACAGATGACTAACATCAAGAAAAGCACTCAGATACTGCTTGAAAGGGCGTTTAATAGATTTCTATGGTCTGGACAGAGGCAACAAATGCATTGGGCTTCTTGGCAAAAAGTGGCTAAACCTCAACTGGCTGAGGGAATTGGGTTCAAGGGTATTAATCAGCTCTTCCAAATAAACTTATGCAAGCTTTGGATTAAATTGAGAGCTCAGACTTCTCTGTGGGCTCTTTTCATGAACGGAAAGTATTGTAGAGATCAACACCCCACACTTGTTGAAAGGAAGATAGGGGATTCTAAAATTTGGGGAAAAATGCTAAATATCAGACACACTGCTAAAACTTGTTCATTTGGGATCTGGGGAAAGGAGACATAAACTTCTGGCTTGATAATTGGTGCCTTAAAGATTGGCTATCCCCTACCTGTAACACCCCCAACCCTGATCTCAAGGTGGTTGACTGTTGGGTGGATGACGACTGGTCTCTACTTAAACTTTCAGAAATTCTACATGCCAATTCTATAGAAAAAATTGCCAGCATCAACATTAACAGAAGAAAGCTAGATAAAATTGTCTGGCAGTCTTTCTCAAATCAAAGCCTTATCAAAGCCATCTACTCTAAAATCTTCTGGGAACCCCTATCCTGGAGCAAAATTATTTGGAGCAATTATCTATCCCCGTCCATGTCCTTTTTCTGTTAGAGGGTCTTTAACAATCTCCTCTCTACTGATGATATTCTTAAACTAAATGGTCTGAGGGGGCCTTCAATATGCATGTTTTGTACTCAGGAGGAGGAATCATTGTCTCATTTTTTCCTTGAATGCAATTTTGTACACGTTGTATGGCATCAACTGCTAGCCCACTTGAACATTGACAAAAACCTTTTTACCTGGGATAATATCACCACTTGCTGGCAGACTTGGAATAAAAGGAACTATGCTCCAATACCTCTCATTGTTGCATGGTTTACTTGGATGGAAAGAAACAAGGTTAAGTTTGAAGAAGGTACACCAAAAACTAAGAAGATAGTCAAAAATAGCCTTTCCTATGTTCACAAAATGATTAAGTTTAGAAGATTTCCCAACATCTCTAACTCTTACTCTTTGGGACACCCAGACAAAAAGAATGTTCATAGGTTTTTCTAGAAACCTCCTGGTTACCATACAGTAAAGGTAAATACTGATGGAAGCTTCAATAAAGGAGGAGCAGGTGTTGGGAGTGTCTACATAAATCACCTTGGGAAATGATTATTATACTTCCACATCCCCATTGTGGCTGTTAATGCTATTGAAACTGAATTAGTGGCTGTCTATTGGGCTTTGAAAATTGCCAAAATGTCTAGATGGTACAACTTATGGTTAGAAGTGGATTCTGCTGCTGTAATCAAGATACTGAAGGATGAGGAGCTTACACCCTGACACCTTACTTATTGGACCAAAAAGATTAGAGAAATTTCCTCACAGTTAAAAGTACAATATACTTTTACCTATAGAGAGGGCAACCAGCCAGCAAATTGGCTTGCCAGACAAGGTTACAATTTAAAAGAGTTATCTGTTGCTGACTCCCCCCTCATACCCTTCAGTTTCTACTGCAGGGTGACAGGATTGAGGTCCCATATTTCAGAATTGTTAACCAAGATCTTAAGTGATTGTTTACTGCCTGCTATGGATTTCCTTTCCCCCTCTCTATCTTAATTCCTGTGTTGAATCAAAAGTCTCCAGCTGTTTTTCTTTCTTGTAACCCCTTTTTAATCAACATGTAGGGAGACAAATGCATCTCCTTTTTCAAATATATTTATATATATATACACCACCACAAATCGAATTTGGCCATATCTCACTTGGCTTATGCGGATGACATTATGGTCTTATCTAATGCCAATAAAATTTTTGTGAAGAAGGTTTATAATTGCATCCAAATGTTTCAAGAACATTCTGGAATGAATTTTAGTCCTACTAAATGTACAATTCTGTTCAGAGACCACCACACGCATCAAGAACTGGATCACTTCCCTCACTGGATTCAATAAAACTTCCCTCCCCCAGAAATATTTAGTTGTCCCTTGATGCACCAAAAATATATGCATTTTTAGTCCAATATTTTGTACTCATTCTTGGTGATATTATACATTAATTGAAGGTATTTTTTATGTTTTATTGCAAGTTGTTGATTTTTAGGACTTGGAGCAAAAATGAAGTAAAAAGTATGGAATTTAGAGTTAAAATGGAATTATTGAAAAATTGTTCAGCACTGACAGCCCCAGGCTGGGCGCTGACGGTGCCATTTGACTGAGAACCCAACTTAATAAATAATGGGCCTCTAGCGCCGATGATGCCAGAATGGGCGCCGACAGCACTAGTGTCGGTGTAGGCCCTGTTTTTAGAAGATTTGATGAATTTGGATGCTTTTTGATAAGTTTTTGGTTGCACCTGTTGGAGACCTAACCCTAGGCTCTATTTAGAGCCAAAATTGATCAAAAAAGTTCCCCCCTTTATACCTTTTCAGATCAAAAAAGTTCCCCCCTTTGTACGTTTTCACGCTACTCCGCTCGCTTTTGGTCTTTACCCCCTTTCATGCCACTTTGCATCCTTCCACGCTATTCCACACCATTATTTATTTATCTTCTTTATTGTTTTGAGTTCTTGTGGTGAGTTTAAGTGTGTATTCTTCTCTTAGAAGTGTTGGAGAGGAAGAGAAGTGAGAGATTTCTTCTTCCTACATTTCCTAAGAGAGGCTACAAGGGATTTGCTTTGAGAAAGAGTTTCAAATAAGTGTTGTTTGATTATTATTGTTTTATGAACTTCCTTCAGATATGAAATTTGTGTTTTGTTTTATCTTTCTCATGAAGTCTGAGTAGTTTACTTTATATTTCACTCTACTCTAAGATATGGTAAAATGAAGAGATAATTTGGACGTGCTAATGTTAAAATCTAAAATAAAATGTGATATTTTTTCAACTCCGCTCTTAATTTACTTTTCGATCTGACCATTTGAATTATTAAAATATGTTGTGAAACATATGATCCAAGAAATGGAGTATGAGTTCTACAACAGAGTGTGAATAATATTTATGTCCATGAAGGAGTATTTCGTTCATGGAAGTAATAACAAATAAATAGGATAATATACTTTTTTGGGTGTAGAATTAGAGATTTTTAGGGTGACATACTAAAATCCTCAATTTGATCTTAGTGTTTAAGAACTAAAGTGAGAGTATATTCCTAGCCTAGCCATATATTTAGGGAGTAAACCTAAGATTAGCCAATGATTTTCAATAATACTAAATCAAGGTAGAGAATTAAAATTGCTCCTATTTGTCAAAATACAAATTTAAATCATTTAACGGATCACATTTCACCAAAAAGCTCAATGTAGTAGAAAAGATGTTTTTTCTTACCAGAAAACTTCATCACATAAACATAGTTTAGTAGTTACTATTTTAAACATTGCATTTAAATTTTGCTAGTAGTTAATAATTTAGTTTTAAAAGTATCTTACACATTCAAAATTTGTGATAGTAATTTCATTTCAAATTTAAACCTTCCTTGTGGTATTGATATTCGGGAATTAATAAAAAAGTCTTATGTTACATGATAATGATACATATACTTGCATAGAATCCCAACATTAAGTGCTTAAGGTTATTATTCATAAAATAACACATCAAGTTTTTGGCGTCGTTGCAAAGCGGAGTCAACTTTATAAATTTTACACAACTATATTTATGAGATCAAGTTTTTGGCATCGTTGCCGGGGAAGGTAATCGTAAATTAAATAGATTTGGTAAATTAGGAAATATAGAGATAAAATTTAAAAAATTTCAAAAAAGTCAATATAAAATCAAAAATCAAAAAAATATATAACTATATATTTAAGAGTATTTTTAAGAAATTTTTCTTTTCTTATTATATTTGCTTATGCGAAATATTGGATCTAAAAGTTTAGTACCTTATGGTAAAGAATTATAACGTACTATTAAAAAAATTAAAAAATAACAAAAAGAAATTAAAAATTTGAAAGAAATGACTAATAACTTAGATAATCAAATAAAGGAAAATTGACAAAGACCATTAAAAGATTATGCTGATCCAACAACAGATGAACTTCACTTAACTATTTAATATCTTAATGTTGCTGCTAATTCATTTGAGCTTAAACTTGTTATTATCCAAATGGTACAGAACAATAAGTTTGGAGGAACACCTACTTAAAGTCCTAACTTACATCTTGCTAGTTTTCTTAAAGTATGTGCTACTTTTAAATATGACAGAGTGTCTAATGATGCTGTTAAAGCTTAGAAATGATATTACATCTTTTTTGTCAGTTTGAAGGGGAATCGATATGTGAAGCCTGGGAAAGATTTAAAGATTTAAAGATCTTCTTAGAAAATGTCCACACCATGCTTTATGAGATTGGTTAATAATTCAAACTTTTACAATGGATTAGTAGGATCACTTAGATTTGTTATAGATGCTGCTGTAGGAGGATCTCTAATGTCAAAACCATTTGACGAAGCAAACTCTTTATTAGAAGAAATGACTATTAACAATTTTCAATGGCCCTTTGAACGGAAAAATTCATAAAAGAGTAGGTAGTTTTCATGAATCTGATGTAATGTCTATTTTAACATCTCAAATTGTTGCTATACATCTCAAATTGTTTTTAACATCTCAAATTGTTGCTATATCAAAAAATATTGATCAAATTGGAGTGAATTATTATCAAATACCACCAGTATTGGAGAAAAATTTACTAGGACAGATATTTGATACTCAATCATCTTACAAAACTTTTAATACTATTAATAATTGAAATAATAATCCTTGTTATAATTAATACAAACCTGGCTAGAAAAATCACCCTAATTTTAGTTGGAATAATTATTGCAATTCAATGAACCCCTTAGGAAATTTAAACAACCAAGGAAATCCTAATTATCAACCTTATTATCCTCCTAAATTTAACTCTAACCCTAACCCACAAGTTAACGAAAAGAAGTTGATGATGGAAGAGGTAATGTTGATTATGGGAAATCATATAGAAAATCAAGAGGCTGCTATTAGAAATATTGAAAATCAATTAGGACATATTGCTACTGCACTTAGTAACAAACCTTCAGAAAATCTTCCGTGTACTGTTGCAGTTAATCCAAAAGATCAAATAAAGGTTCAAATTAAGGCTATTGAATTATGAAGTGGAAAAGAAATTTAAATAAGAATCCAAAGAGAAACTGAAGTTGATTAGGAGAAGGAAGAGATTGAAAGTGATCATAATGAAAATGAATCAATACAAGTTCCTTTAGAAAGACCACTACCTCCATTTCCTCAACGATTAAAGTAGAAGAAGAAAGGCAAACAATTTACAATGGTTTTGGAAAT